ACTTAATCCCTCCTCGAATGTCCTCCTACAATTCTTCCAAGAAAAAAGCTTACAACAGCATGTTGTATACCAACGCATGGCAATAGTATTATTGATTTAGCCTTATCTACGCTTTCCAACATACGTGATGTGACGGTTGCAGCTCCACTGACGAACTCAGATCATTCCGCTGTTCACTTCAATCAGATGAGAGAGCTTGGTGGTGCCTGTCGTCTACCCCTCTCCGTTTTTTCTTCCCCCGACTATGATGGTTTCGATGTGTACTTTCAAAATGTTGATTGGATCCAATTATTCGAGCAATACGTCCCTGCCGATGATGCATATGCCAGGTTCTGCTAAGTTGTCTACAGTAGGTTAGCGAGCTTCGTCCTTTAAAGTTTCCGGAATCTAGCATCATAAGTTATCCATCACATATAAGAAACCTATAATTTCGAATGGAACGTCTTTTCCAGAGAATGGATTTCTCTTTGAATTTCCTGCTTTACAGAAAAGTATGCTCCGACGTTGACCACCACTTGGAAAAGTTTGCTGCCAGTTATTTGGGAGAACAGTTCCTTTACGGCAACTGTACCTTTACTCTCGCAACAAACTCAAACCCAAGCCATCCCTCCCAATTTCAAAAGATCAGTTCATTTCGTGTCAAGGCTTTATAATGACTGTGCTGAGGCTGAAGCTTTCGATCCTTATTTCGCCAGTGTCTTCTTGGGCACGATTACTGCTGATAGTGAAAAGGAAAAAAGCTCGGAGTATATTCACCGATGTTCGCCTGATATCTACTTTCATCCTAGTGATGTCCTCTTGGTGCTGACAAGTTTGACGATGGAATGCCTCAGATCATTTTCAAAAAATGATGTAGGTCACTATGTTATCCACTTTCCCACTTGTCCGATATATCTTTACTTTTAAGACAGGTCCCCTGATTTTGGAAGGAAGCTATCGTTACTGTCATTCCCTAGCACCCTGGAGCTGCTAGGGTTACAGATTTCAGGCCCATCAGCCTTACTCCCACACCTGTCAAGGTCATGGAGGAAACTATGTTCAGTCAGTTACTGCCTGGTTTCAGAAGTCTAATTTTTCCCAACGGAGCGGCGTGGATTCCTAGGGCTTCAGCATGTACTAATTTACTCGATACCTTTTATGATGTTTGCAAGGCCTGGAATCGGAGAAAGTCTGTGGACCTTTCTAAGGCCTTTGATAAAGTTTGTTATCCTAAACTCTAACTAACACTAGCAAACTGGAGCACTACGGAATTCGGGGTTACCAACTCGCACTCTTAGGCTTCAGCCGTCATGGCACTATATGGGACTTTATCCATACTCAAAACATGCGGTGATGTTCACGTACAGGTATATGCAGATTACACTGAACTGTACACTTCATATGAATGTTCAAATAGAGTAGACATACAAAAAGCACTGGAGCTGTCTTTTGAGAAAATGAGAGTATGGGCATTCAGATGGGATATTCCCTTAGGTCTGAGCAAATGCTCGACGATGCGTTTTGGGAACTCTGTTGCAAATGACTATGTTGTGAATGGATTAAAACTTCCAACTTGTGACTCAACTAAAGACCTTGGAATAATTCTTGAGAACAATCTCAAGTTTTCTGAACACATTGAAGCAGAGGGACAGCAGCAGGAGAAGCAGACGCGCCGTTAAAGTTATAGACGAAAGCATGTGGCAGGGCGACAGGCTGCCTCTCTTTTGGTAGGCAGATATTTCCCTGAGCGAGTACTTGTCCTTAGTCCAAAACGCAGTGATTTAGATGTAATGTACTGAGGTTTGCCGTGTGCAATTTACGCGTGAAGAACGAATTCAATAGCGACTTTGGGCGGACGGATAAGGGGGACTCAAGCAAATGGATCGCTCCTCGACAATTACCTATCCACAGCTTCGAAGTGAAGCGAAGTGTCAAGCCGGCCAATATAACGGCTCGCATAACTGGAAATTGCCGGAAATTCGCATTAGATCACATGATGAAATACTAAAAAAATTACAAAAACTTGGGTTTCTTTTACATAAATAAGAGTGGTAATAGTGGACACGCCCACACGCTGCACGTCTCACCCTTCCACCTCGTTGACGTGGTAGGCCAGCGGGGAGGCTGGCGTACCACCTAACGAGTGGATCTTAGCTCTTACCAGCTGAAATGACTAATTCAGTGGAGATCTTCTTGCAGAAGGAACAGAGTGCAAGCAAATGAAGCTGTGTAGAGTTTGCTTCGCAGGTAAATCAGAGGAGTTAGATAATGAAGTAGTTAGGCTGAGGTGTAGAAGGTACCAGGCGGGAAATATTTCAAACCGCAGGACCTTTCAGTGCTCAAACGTGATCATCTCGGGATTGTGAAGTGATACCTCGCGCAAGACTTGTGCAACGAAAACGTAGTTCCATCAGCGATAGAATCAAGCCTCCTTTGCAGTTCACGGTCTTCAGCCTATGTGGTTTTTCTGGTGAATCTCAACAGTGCAACCCTGTTTATGGATGGAGATGATACTTCGTAGCGGCTTTCCAGTCTCAATAATAAATTTTTCTGCGTCATCACCAAAACTAAGTAACTGTGTTTAAGGGAGTTGATGAAGAAAGGTATTCTGAGATGGCACTTCTTTATATAGCGCGATAACCCTACAGAAAAGATTGAAAATTGCAACAACAAGGCAACCGTAGCCTTTCGTTATAACGATGCAGAGCTTCCCCAGAAACTGAAGAAAGAAACAGTTCATTGGATTCATCCCGGAGTATGTGCGATTTCAACTCCTTCTTTTAAATACAAAGCGATCTCAATCATCCAGAACAACCACTCCGTCTATCTATTGAAATATGCTAGGTCAAGATTTGCAGTATGTATGTTCACTAGATTTGAACTAGTGAAATCACGCTTTTACCACTCTGACGATCTGAAACATTCGATTTAAGAAAGCTGCTCAGTATCTGAAGATCACCAAAGGCTCATTCAAGCCCAATTCTTCTGTATCCTGCAGTAGTCTGTAATCATATTGCTAGCAATTCCCGTAGAATCACAGAAGAAGAAAGATGTCTCACCTAATATTGATTGCTTGGTTACACAACTGATTTGTTCAAAACACATCTTAAATGATAAACGTTAGCAAGAGGTCAATTAAGAGGCTAGCCGTTCACTAGATATAACGAATGTTGAAAAGGTAATCGGTCACCAGCTATTATGAGCATAATCAACTCTTAAAATCAAGAGAACTACATTCCGCCCTTCAAGACGATAAACATAAGTATGTAGTTTTGTGGAAACTACTGGTAGTGCGGATGTGGAAAAAGACAGGCTAAAACTGCAAGCGATCTTTCCTTCAGCCGTTCCTATAGGCGAGGTTAATTACAACTGTTATCTGAACATGTTACTTCGTTTCTCACCAAGTCCTACAAAGCCACATTAAAACACTTTTCGAATAACGATTTTCGCTACTTCCGGAAGAATTTATCACATTTATCACACAAAACCCCAAACAGGCTCCAGAATTTCAAGATCGCGTTAACATTCGAAGTAGAGTTGGAGGAGGAGGGATAGATGCAGAAGTCAGTTTTAATTTCCGATCGTTTACTAGTATTTGGTTGGAAGATAAGTCTTGCAACACTTTGGACAAATTTTTGAATTTTTTTATTTTATTTCAATTTTTTGTTAATTTTACTAATATTTATTTTGTAGTTTGATTTTGTAATTTGATATTTTGTGTTATTATGTATATTTTAGTAAATCTACATTAAAAGGGCTTTTGGTTTTTTTTCCTGTGGAGGAGCATATTCCGAGTGTATAGACTTATCTTCCAACCTAATAATAATTTGGCAAGAAAGAAAACAAAGACAAAGAAATCGAAGCGTTAGAAACTTTGTATGGACAATGAGGACAAGATAGCAACGGTTATGAACTTCTAGGACACTCCCAGATGAATCAACACAGAGGTGAATAGGAAATGCGCTTCGGCTTTTGCAACTCTACCATTCATAATTGGGAGCATTAGATTCGTACCATCATCTTCTACTAGGCACGCCAAGGGAAAACGCAAGCTTAGCGGCTGGAATTACCAGCAACCTCTTCGCTAGGAGCAATGTTAACCGGTCAACGATCAGCAATTAGTTGCGCCCCTTCTTTGCAGTATATGTACACTGACCTTTGAAGTAACGCAAATATTGTCTCCCACTTTTGGGGTTGGGATTTGAAGAGACCGTCCAGTGTGACTTGTCGGAAGCAGACTGTACAGTCACAGCTATCGCTTACCCTTATGAAGCCTGAATTTAACCTAACGCAGTTAGAAAATGACGCCTAAAACCATAACTCAGGTACCTACCGAACACCAACACACGCTGAGAATTATTTAAAAAATCCACCGCACTTGCTTGTTTTTAGGATGTTCATCAGTCGATCTCCGTTGTCCTTTTTGTATACCACGTGCTCCGCCTTCTTGAACGTCACTTTGATGGAATAAATTTTGTGGCTCATTATAGTTTAAAAGAGGCGGTCAATGGCTTTTTTGAGTTACTGCCTCCTGACATCAGAACAAAAGGCAACAGTGATTTGTACAAAAATTAGAGAAGGTTGTTGACCCCTCCGATCTGGGAAATTCTAAAGATGAATTCAAAACGACTTCTTTTTTGTCGAAAAGCTTTCTTTTCGGGTTAATATCGTAGTTCACACACAGTCTAGCCAACCTCTTCCTATATCTCATTTCTCAAATCTACCCTAATTGTGGACTTTCGACGTGTAGCAGAGGTGTTCACACGTTATCGTTTGTATTGACGTTACAGCCATTTTTCGTATCTTTTTCATCTTCATATTCTCACGCAGTTTTCAGCGAGCTTTCATATGGCAGAAAACTTAAGTGCGCTTTCACTGACGGAGAATAAATTTCATCAACCAAGAAGGCCAAGGAGATTTTGTCCGTCATTTCCAAACGATCTGTATTCCATGAAGATAGAGAGAATCTTTATCGAAATTAGGTCTAGCATCAGCATATGCAACCTTTAGTGAAACATAGTCTATGAAAATCCTTTTCTGTTCATCCGATGTTCAGTCATTTTGCGAGCTTCCCACGTCTGATTCGTTCTGTTACTTCTCTGGCGCCTTTCACATTCCTTCCTCATGTCGACTGGCATGAACTGCGTACTACGCTTCTCGAACACCTAAGAGGTTAGTTGACGGGATCGAGTGACTAAACGTCGGAATCAGAAAGGCTCTCACCTCTAGTGGACAGAATTCTTTATCGACAGGGCAGCCTTTAGTGAGATGAGTGATTATATGGTAGTTATGATGAAAAGCACCATGGAAAAGAATCTGAAACAAGAGCTATTACGTGAGAACGACTCTAAATTGATTCCATAGATATGAGCGTTATCTTTCCCCATAGGATCAGGAATTGGTTGTGAGTGGAATTTCCACATGAATAATTATTGCATTAGGAACATATAAATCGTAATTCTTACCCTTACAGCTAGACCTTCTCCTTCGAGGGTCCACAATTCAACCGCTACAGATGCGGTGTACTTGGGTAGGCCACCTCTTATCACCTCCTCCTCATCACCGAACGTCGACAACAGCGCTGCCACGGTGGTATCGTGCTAAAAGCACCCGAATCTATCAGACAATGGATATAAAGCCAGAAATAGCAAAACGTCTCACTACGAAAACTTAATCCTGTTGGGTAATCAACAATCTCCCAGGCGACAGCTCTCGACCATAAATTAAGGAATAAAATTGATCACTTGGAAAACTCGAGGGCCACTGCGACTTCCAAAAAATCAGCTTTTCTTTTCGTTATGGGGCTCTGGAGACATCTCATTTCAATCATTTTCGAGGGCCGGATATTTCCCAAAGCCCACCCCTTTCCGGAGTTGGGTAGTCGACAACCCAAACCTCCTGTGTGCTTATGCTACGTTGCAGCGTAGATTGTCAAAAGAGTGAGGCAGTGGAGGACAGAAGCTCAAATGTTGATACATTTCGTAAATGGCACACGTCCTTGAATGTGAAACAGACGCTGCGTGGCGGAGAGGATTCGATTGAGACAGTCAAAGCTTGCAGATCCCGAGCCTGCCGGTCCATTTTGCCTAAACTGGGGATAATTCAAATCTCGGGAGTAGACATAGAACACAGAGGCGCATTCCATCGCTCAAAAGTGGGAAATGTATGGTATGCGAAAAGTTGATGAGTTTAGGACTGCGGCACGTAATCCTCACCATTTGTGCTATTCCTTCGGATGTGTTCGTCAGCTAAGCTGGTTTTGGGGCACTTATTACGCCCTATCTAGGCCTATCTAGGCCGTTTTTGACTCGACAGCGTCCCCTAAGCTATCCCTGGGGGTCCCTGGTTCATTCAAGCGAAAAACCTCAGAACCATTTTTATCGTGGACGGAGCTTTAACGGTGCCTTATCAATTTCCTGAAACCTCACCAGAGCTTTATCCCATCAACAATATAAGAATAGCAAGGCAGCAATAAATACGATCACAGAAAGCAAAGTCACCCGGTTTAAACTCGCTGTTCGGCCCAACATTATCTAGATGACGTCTCAAGGAAGGGTTTGGCCGATTAATGTCAATTCAACGTCAAGCCACCATTAAAAAACACAATCGCTCCAAAGACAACCAAGAATTTCGAGCCGTCTCATCGACGTAGAATGGTATTTACTCCCTGAAGGATAGATGTCCTTAATTCCAATTAGCGCAGAGGAAGAAAAGGCTTTGCGATTTTTGGGTGTGAAGAATGGCAGGCAGTGAGTGGTACGTTGCTGAATCCGCTTTAGCATTTCCGAAAAACTGAAAGTTGTAGCAAGCACTCACCGCAGAGTAGGCATAATACTTGAGAGGTTTGATCCATTTGCATTCGTTCTGTTGCTTGCTGTCATCGAGACACTCCTTCTTTTGATTCATTAGATCAACGAGGCTTCGGAGCATTGGCCCTGGAACGCATGTGGTTGGTTTAGTGCAACTTATAACTGACCACACAATTGGTGAGTAGTTTTGATAAAGCTAAGGTGATTCTTCTTCTTGAGTCAGGATTTCCTTTTTGATGCCGCAAAGACTTATTAAGATATTCTCCCATCCCCTACTCACAGAACTCAAAACTCGCCTCCTCTCAAACGGATCAGCTCTGGCAGGTACGGTTCCCCAATGCCGTAAGTGTACTCGTTGACAATGGAGGTGAGATTTCGGAGCCTTTTCGAGACCTCGTGCGTCATCCATTCTGGCTGGCTCATATTGTAGATCGTCTGAACATTACCCAACACCTCATGAATCGCTAGCGACTGATTTCAGCACTTGGAAGCCATGGTATTACCTCAATGTAATGCACATCGTTGATAAGGTAGACGTTTGGCAGCTCTATCTTCATTCCCGTATTCTTTGACAAGTACTCGAGGAGATCCTGCAAAGTATGCTATACCCTTATGACAACTGTGCTGGCCATTGCATATGTAACACATGCCTCGTTGTCCTTAGCTAATTGTTTGTATTCTTTACTGTTCCGCAATTCATCATCAAGCTGTTCTGCTCGAGGGCATGGAGCGAAGACATTTCCGGCCTAGATGGCAGTTAATCGATCTATCTTACAATCTTTGAACAGAAAGCATTATTGAGACTCACATGGTCTTCGTTACCTGGGAGTGTGTGTACAGGAACCGGTGTCCAACCAGTGGGCCAACTGAAACATTCCCAATAGAAAAAGAATTTGTACTTCATCAGAAGGCACCACCGAGTTCCAGCAGGCATGAAACGCAGGTAGACCAATATGATGCCAGTCCCGACCTTATTCCTAGCAGAACCAACTAATCAGGAAATAGGTCCTTTTGGTAGTCAGGGTTCAGAGCACTGGCTATGATTTGATGACCATCAGTGAATACCACCTAACCTTGACTCTAGCTAGTAATGTTTCTGTTAAAGATGTAGAAGGATTAGAGGAGCCACTGATATTCATAGCCAGTGCTCTGAATCCTGACTACCGAAAGTTGGCAACATACGCCAAACGTTTGGCTTACCGGCTCCACTCACCTTTTTGGACAGATTATCTAATTTGGCTCTGCCAAAATAAGTTACTGTGTTACCATATCCGTGCTACGAAGCTGATAAACACTGGTATCCCTCAGAGTGGAGAAGAGTTTTGAAATGTCGAGGTGGCCAGTACGAGGGACAGGCTCAACGTCGTCTTAAACCGTGTGTGTAACTAATAGCCCTATCAAGTAATTATTATGGGGATGCAACCAGCTGTTTTTACCGGATACGTGGTCTTAGGAAACTCAGAGTTTCATTTTGAAAAACCCAACAATATGGGATAGATAGCCTGGTAGATTTGTGGACAAAACCCACTCTGTTTCGTTGGGAAAGTCCTTTCCAGGTTCTCCACCAGCGAACATTGCAGCAATGTTGGAATATGCAGAAATCAATGTCCTATTTACATCTGTAGATCGAATGTACACCTGCAAAATTGTGCGCAGACTAATTGAACATTCCTCATTCTAACAATAATTGCTGTTTGAAGAAGCGCTATCCATCGTACCTGCTTGGAGTTATATCGCCTGTCCAAGAACGGATTCGCACTACCCATGTAGCGTCTACGCAAAACATTTCCTAATGCGTACTGCTGCCGCATCCCTAGCTGAAAGTGAACGCTGAAAACATGCTCGATTTTCCAATTTTTTTGGTTTTTTTATTACTAAACATAGTCGTGCCTTGCCAATATTTTGAGAGGTTTTCCCACAAAAATTTATATCTGTGTTAACCCTGTAACATCTCTGGGTAAATGTTTGATGATTTAGTGAAATAGTATCCAGAAGAGACCATTCGTTATAATAGGTATCAGTATACTCTTTTTACCAACTTCTAACTCTATGCCTCTCACTCTTACATGAACAGCTTTCGAGCATGTTCCTGTATTCGACTCCCATTCAGAATCGACTATTCACCGGCTATTCTGAGTGTAAGACAAACAAAATAAGTCAGGCTACTACACATACCGTACTTGCCCTCATTTTGGTTACATGCCCTCACAGGCCAACCTGACTTCTTTCTGAGACTATTCAATGCGTACTGATTCAGAGTAAAGAGCACATTCAAGCACCTCCACAAGTTTAAACTTTAGCATAAGTCAGAGCTCTCAAGCTTAATCTTCCATTCTTCAGTACGGAGCAACGCAATCGTATGCCTTACGAATGTTCGGCGCTATAATCGGAAGTTATGGCTAAAAACTCTACTACTAAGATGAGGAAGACTGGTCAACTTCGGCGGAACCCGTTACTAGTAACATTGTTGCTGCTTGTTTTCCTGCTCACTTATTTACACCCCTTCTCGAAATAGAAGCAAGATATACTACGAATCTCCCTCCAAAACGCCTTCTCGAGGCTACATCATCTCTAGCAGAGTTGCAAACGTGTTTACCTCAGTTAGCTCGCCCCATCCATTAGGCCACGCTTCTTCCTGATGAGTGTCAGTTGGATAGGTCATCGTCGGAGCGCGATCTCCATGGCGCCAGATCTATGAGAAGAAAATCCTATGGGCAATATAACGGGAACTTATATTAAGACACGTACTACTTGAACGAGATGAAGTTTATCGTTCGGTTTCGGTGACCGTGGAACCACCGGGATCGGAGGAGCCGTAGGAATATAGGGCTGCTCACATTGAACGAAGGAAATGTAAAGGAAAAGATAAGTCCAGGTGACCAGGCTGCATTTAGACACTTCTGTAGACATCGAATATCTGTTAAAATAAACTTATCAGAAACGAACCGTCGAACAATGGCTCAGTGAAAAGTATGAGGCTGACTGAAATTTAGGCAACATACACATATCAGTTTGGCTCAATGAAATTCGGAAATACAAAGAAAGAAGTGCGGAAGAACATTCAACGAATCAACAGCCTGACTGCTCGTTTGCTCCCTCCCAGCAGGAAATAACTCATATAGAATTGGTCAGGAGAAAAGCGTCACAGCATAGAAAGATTGGGTCCCATCGATTTGATGCCTAGCCTAAAGGTCAGCTAATCGTTTGAAGGAAAACATACAGCTTGATGATTTTCTCAGGTTTCGCGAGGTTAAAGAACTACGACAAGTAGCGGAGTGATGAATTGATGGTCAATGACCCGGCATCTAATTAATAGCCGCTAGACCACGAGGAACAGGCGTCAACGCTTGCGGGCTCGAAATCTGTGCTGTGACTTGTGCTTGTTGTGCTTAGGGCTATGACAAACGAAAGTGGCGATTCACCTTATCGGGCAACCACGGTTTGATTGCGTCCTCCGGTCGGTTCTTTCAAGATGGGAGCAGTGATGAAGACTTTCTAAATAGGCCGTTATCCTTGGTGTGCTGTAGGCAGTGTTGCACTGAATGGAATCGGTTATTCAAGGTAAAGTTAGGAGACCTACAGCTGAAAGAAGAAAGTATTTTTTTACAGTATCCACTGAACGAGTTTCTGACGTTCCCTTACATTGCTTCAAGAAAAAATTCCAGTTACGCCTATGCACCTTGTAATAGACCTGAGTGTTTGTAATACTGAGTGTTTCACCATTTCTGCGCCCACGCTATTTGCAACTGTTTTTTATCTACGTTGCGCTATCTTCTGGTTCAGTGCCAGTATTTATGCTTTCTAATCGTGCCCTTTCTGTCTTGCAATCATCCGGGTGACTCCTTTCGAAATCGGGTTCTGCGAGAAAGTGGAGGCAGCTGTTATGCGAACTTGAAAATTCTCGGCGATGATCTTAGAACTTTACTTTTTACAAAACTCTTTCAACTTGACTTTTGTTGTCGATGTCACCCTCTGAAGAAATGATTGCTTGAGAGGAATGTTTCAAACTGTTTACAGATTAGACACCCTCTTCTCGAAAATTCCGTTTTTCAGTCATCAAAACTAGAAAGTGAGCACTTTGCGATTATTACTGTTTGATACAAGGACTCCGCATAGACTTACACGATCGATCTTCTCTAGGATGAGGTTGAGTGGCAAAACATTTGCAGATCGTACAAGGCATGCACCGAAAAGCTGCTTTTGCATTTCATTGCAAACTCAACATGTGTTGAAAAATGCGTAACCGCAGTTTCGTATAAACTCAGCTAGAGCTGATGCTAACGTTTTTGTTTGAAGGGGTAGAGTACTGTCGCGAAACTGGAACAGTAATTGATCGGTGCACCTCCAAAGAGAACAGGAGAATAAACCGTTTATTGGCACCAAATATCAATGTTGGAAGATAAGTGGACATTGGCATACTTGCAAAGTATTGGGATCCATCACAGCAATGTGGCGCCAGGCGGTAAGTCGAACAGATCGTCAACAAAAATCTGAACATTCCATGTGGGTTTGAGGAAGCTTTTTGTATATTCACTGAGCGATAACTTTTTCACAATCTGCCCACCTTGGCCATTGGACAAAATCTCCATTTTGATGGAGATCCCATTCTTTCCAGTTGGGAGGAGGCCGCTGCATTTGTGAGAGGATACGCCTGTTAAAATAGGCATTTGCTACTAAACAGGCAAGAAGAATTTTCTTTTTTATTCTCTTTCTATGATTACTCATTATTTCCTTGTAGACTGAGTGAGAGAAAAAATAAATAAAACTCACTCTGATNCCGTTGTCAGCAAAATCTCTGGCGATAAAGGGTTGGCTCCAGCATTTGAGATTCCTCGATTCCATCACTGACATCGGAGGCTTCAGTTTGAGCTCAAGGGTAAAGAATTAGAGTATTGAAATTAGAAAGTTCTAGAAAGTGCTGAAGCAAATAACAAATCGTCTAAGAGCTACCTTCGTTTTCCCTACATGATAGTCGTACTCCGAGCAGAAAGGGAAAGTCGATTTCCTTTCTCTTCAACTAACTCATAGTGAGGCTTCCAAGAAAGTTGCTGGCAGTAAACTAAAAGCAAACCTGGTACGTTCCCTGATGAAATCGAAACAGCTGCGTTCTGCAAACGTACAGCCCCAATCTCTACCGTACCAGAGCGCTTCATGTTCCAGTCGAATCGCAGATCGATTCACGCGATACCATGGCCTCAAAATGTCAGGTTTCATATTAATTCCTTCCACTGGTTCATTCACCCTCCAAAAAATTCTGCACATTGCCACACTGCGAGATAATCCTGTCAAGAAATCTTTTGATTAGTCAAAATTTACTTTCTCTGATAGTTCTCTTTGAGTCTTGAGAGAGTTTTTTGACTCTGGGAAATACCCAAACTTATGAACTTGGTAGTGTTCAACGGAAAGAAACTCATCTGTCACCCAGGAATGTCCCTTCAAGAATTGCTGCACTGATATAGGAGAACCGATTGGACATATTCGAGAGATTTGGGGTCATCAGTTCGTTCTGGCAACATGAAACATGACATATTAGAAGTATCCACCTACGCCTTCAACAAGTATTAGGAACTGGCTTTGAGAAAAGTTGCATGTTGATGAATCGGAACTTGATAAGATCCCCTAAGATTTGTCCCATGTGCTATATATACCTAGACCAGTCTCAAATATACTCACTCCGTATATATACTCGTTCAAATGAATTTTTTCTGCAGAGTCCGCTTCGACACCGGTCAGTGTTGGACATCCCAGGTACTTCTTCGCCTCCTCCTGAAACAAACGATAAACACGAACCAAATATTGAAGCACAGTTCAGAGCGAAGTTCAGGAAAGGATGTGTCGAAACCCGAGGTCTCAGAGGTCTTACAAGAGCACCATCAGCGAAATCAAGAAAACGTCGTTTCGCCATCTGGGTGGAAGGCTTGTCCCAACTATCTGTCCATTGATATCTCACAGTGGGTGGACTCTTCTGTGTGGCTGTGCTTGGGACTAAAGTCCCAAATCCCTGAACATTCGATTGACTTTTCTCTTTGCAACTTTCGAAAAACGTAATATTAGACTCACTAGCACTGGAGTACTCACCAATGTATGTAGAAGCTCATGACGGAAGAGATCCACACCGGCTTGAAACTCTTTCCATCGCCTTCCGGGACAAATGTTGACCACACCTAGCAGAGGTCTGAAGAATAACCGCAACTAATAGCGTAATTTATGGCAAGAAGTCAGTAATTTCTTACGGGACCATGAAAAGGGATCCAGGTGAACAGATAAAGTCGAAATACTTGTTAAAAATTCGGACACAAAAATTTCTACCTGAATTTTCATGAAATATCTCGCTTCCGAATTTTCTGGGCGATGGCAGGTGGGAATGTTTTCAATATAACGAAATCTTGCGCTTTATCACCCGCAAAAACTTTCGTCTCAATTTTGAACTTCTACCGAATGAGCGCCTGGTTTCTTACGACTCTCCTGGAGCTTATCCAAATGAAATGGTCGTGTACGCAAGCTGTTCTTTTCCCTATAAACCCGTCACTTCAAGCTGACTCTAACCCTTGATAATTTGCTCGTTAAATTCAGGTTATTTGGTATCCTTGATTGTGATGAGCATTTTATATTCAATCAATTTATTCAGGTTCTAGTTGAAATTTCACTGAAAGTTTTCAATCTTCGACTTATCCATACTGTACTGCCATCCTTGTGAGACAAGCCACTGTACCACTGGACCTTTCGTAGACTAAACGACAAGATCTTCATCGTCTACGCAAAAAAATGATGATGCCCAGTGACCCAATACGCAAAAAAAAATGACGATGCCCAGTGACCCGCAAACGCCATCGATAAAAATATTCTGAGCATAGCTCCACCTTTCTGTTTTTTTTGCGGTGTAGATGAACACGTTTTGATGAAGGATGCGGTTGTGATTAGAATAAGAGCCTTGCAACAGTGCGAGACTTAACGGGAGGAGAGAGCGAGATTATTAAAAGGTAATAGCGATTAAAAGATTAGCGTAATTATGTTCAAGTACCTGTTACTGAATAGTTCTAAATTACACAAATTGTCAAAACATTTGTAAATTTGTCTACGTTTGGAAAATACGAGAGGAATTTGAACATTATGCGCAGCTTTATACCTCATGCCATCCCTGATAGCGCAAGGCATCGCTGAAGCCATCATTTCTTGATAACGTTTGCAAAGGTTCCTGTTGCTCTTAAAAAGGAGCTCTGTTTTCTATCAACCAAACATATATTTTTACATAATCGCCACATACCACCGCACCTCGAGGAGAATCACAAAGTTACTCGTACTCAGCAGGAATCCTCTATCGAAAGTCAACTTCTCTTTTGTATTTTCCCTTCCATTAATCTGAAGAGCTTGCTTCTTGTGATGAGCGTCTCCTCAAAAACAAAAAATAATGCTGAGTAGTCTGTGGAACAAAAGACTCGCCTGCTTCATCAGATTCACTTGCCTGGCCAGCATGAAACTCTTTGAGCACTTGTGGACGGATTCCCATGTGATGTTCCGGGGTCCATAATCCAAAACGGAAATGATTCCAGAGAGGTTGTGAATTGCTTTCCTCAGACTGTTCTTCAAACAGATTTACGTGTGGTTCAGAACAATGGAATGATCAACTATGAACTTATTGACCAATCGAATGAACTGATCGATATTTTTTCCTGTCTGTCGTCGTCCTGAGCGGCCGCGCCAGCATGCTCTGCGCTCTTATCGATTTTTATACTGATCTAATAAGTTAAACTTCATGTTTACTGCGCAGCTTGGTATTCATATAGCTATATAATGTATAAGAAGGCTCAAGACTAGGACTGAAAGCCTGTAAAGCCTGTAATAGCGGGTAAGTTCGATTATTTGTAATTTTCACGCCTTTGGTCATATTGGAAATGTCAAGGAATCGATCACGCGCATGCCAAAATGTGGACAACAGGGCCACAAACACTGCCAGCAATAGCTCAGTAAGCAATAGACAGTTCGATTCTGATATCGTCAGTATGTCTATGAGCTCAATAGTTAGGGCTATGATGGAGCGAAGCGATGAGCTCAAAGATCTTGTTCGTGGGTAAGTACATCAACGCCCTTGTTGCCAAGTTGCCCCAAACGCTTGCGTAGCTGTGGAGACGTGCGAAAGAGGCCGAAGCCTGGTTTCCTCTGACATTTCCGATTCCGCTCCCGACGTCTCGCCTTCAAGCACGCAAAAAGAAGTTGAGGCTATGGTAACAGAAGTCAGATGTTCTTGGAGTGGTGAGCAGGCTAATAGAGGTATACCGCAAGGGGAACCTGGTGGTACTCATGTTTGTTCAAGTTGGTATTACCTTCAAAAAACACTGGGTCAGCGCCCTCTCCAACATCTACCGCCTGCGCAATTCTGGGTTATCAAAGTTTCAACCTAACTCCGGAAGAGCGCGGAAGTGAATCTGACTTTGGCAGAAGTATAGATCATGCAGTAGACAGTTGAATAGTCGGATGTGGATTGTGCACCGTGGCCACTTAAGATGTGCCGACGAACATCCCAAATCGAGAACATCGAGAAACGCCAAACTATCCCGTCCCACAAATCAAATATTTCCTCTTCAATTCCAGAGGGTTATACATTTCTGTTGACGATCTTTATAGACGAGTCTGTCGTATTTTGCATGCTCGCTCTCTTTGCTGTATGCGCTTTTCTTCTGTGTTCAAAGCACGTCTCTTCAATGCTCTGCAGGTCTCTCTTTTCTCATGTTTTCATCACAGGAGAATCTGTATTGAACTGTATTGCTACCCAGAGAAAAGCGAAATTCAATCAATAAACAAACGGAAATTTTCTTCTCTATTATCAAGTATAGAATTAGGCCGAAAACAAGAATCCCAATACTCCACTACGATGTTGGCGGACATTTTATAACTGAGCACCAGAAAGCGGAAGCACTCGCTATATTTTTCAAGTCTGTCTGCAATGCGCGCACGGAGAGTGACTGCTAAGAAGATTTTGAACATGAGGTCCCGAAGAGCTCTCTCGGATCACTGTAAATCCCCTAGAAGAATGCAGAGCTTTGAGCTCCCCAAAACCTCAACGTCATCGACTTTTGATGGTATTTTCCGAATTGCTTGTAAAAAATGTGCCTCATCTTCGAATAAATCATACATGATGATGAACGCATCCCTAATGTGAACCTCCTTCCGCTTGGAAAGAATTTATCTCAGTGGCTATCTATGAGATTCCCAATCGTTATTTGGGCTCTTCTTTCTAAAAGTATAACTTCTCCAGCAGGCAAGTTTTGGAACGAGGCAAACTTTTTCATTATTCTTGATAGAAATAGTTTGATCCCAATCGAAGAGCGCGGTTTTGTTATGGGTGCATCCACGTGTACCCAGATGGCAGCCTGCGTTTTTGATAAGGGTATAACTGCAATCAAAGGCAAAGGCATAGACATATTTCTACAGGTCGAACGCCTTTGATGAAGTTAATCACAAGAAATGTCTACAAACTGCGCCATGTTTATGTTTGCTGCATCATTCTCAACTGGATCAGCTGCTATCTCGAGTGATATGTGCGTAAGAGTTGGTAACACATTTTCGAAACGAGGAGTTCTGTCTACCTTATTACTTTTGGCCTACATATATGATTCAACATACTGTCTTGCCGTACATCCATTAGTAAAAGTTTATAAGCACGCTGAACCATAAAGGGTTTGGCGTCGATGGTCAACAACCTCATTGTCTGGAAAGTAGTTCCGCGAAAGTGGTTCCTCTTTCACATTATGATACTTTCGCTTATACTAATAGCCAATGAAATCAGTATGCGAGAGAAGTTGCAACTTTGTTAACAAACTTCACACTGCTATTTTACCTCATTACGGACAATGGTCGTATCTGATGCGGACATACGAGACATACGACGCAAACACAGACGTCTTCTGCAAGCGCTCCCACGGCAACCAAAACCAAATCATTTACGAGAGAATCATTCAGAGCTGCAGGCACATATACACCACCACAGATTACACGACGCCACTTTCAACACGCATTGAAGACATACGTAATTTCCAAGAGAGTTGGAAAGAGCGATTAGAAGAACTTCAGATTGTGGAAACTTTGCGGGAAATAACTGTGATTGAGTTCAGATTAATACGCACTGAGTTGAGGGCCTTGTTCAGGATACCCTTTCTCCTAGTCGCAATGGATATAATTTCGGAAAAACAACTGAAACGCGTTAAGATCGCAACCACAGTACGATGGAAGTGGAAATCCGATACTCACTTCTGAATCAAGCCCAGGAGACGATCGAGCAAAGACTTGAAAGATGCGCAAAAGAATCCAGGGTTAAGAACCAATGGAGGCCAACCAGCACGGAAGGCCTCTAGCAAACCAGCATCAACGAACATGAAAGCAACAGACACCAATCTTTTGAAGTAAAGGAAGGAGCGGACGAGAACGATGAAGTCAGTAGGATCCAAGACAGTGCCGAATATATGGAATGAGTAAAAGAGTTGGACGAAGAAGAAAAGGACTTGATCTCAGAAAGCCGGACGAAAAGACGCGAAAGGCCGGAGTCAGGTCGAAAATCTGGAATGAAATTCAGCGGACGGAGCACGAAATTGAAGACAGAATCGATTCTTCACGATTTAGACTTGATGGAGACGTGAGAGTCACGCGACTTTTTGAGGGGCGTAATATGCAAACATAAAGATGTCACGGTCCCATGGGTCTCCCGCGGAAGAGTGGTAGATCACTAATGATTCAACATACACAGACTTTTGGGATAGGTATTACATTATACAAGCACAAAACCGTTGTCAATTGTGTCTTAAATTTATGAATGA